GGGGGGGGGGGGCTCCAAAAGGTATTCAGGTACATAAATTGCTATTATATGGAAGAGGGGTCATACTCTAAGTGATGAAGACTATCCAGGCCCCTCTCCTGATAACCTGAAGATTTAAGATTGAAAGAGAAAGAGTAGGAAGAGGAATATGGAACACACAAGATAATGAAGCAGCTGAAACTTGGAAAGAATTTAAAAGGTGTTGGAATCTTACATTCAGCTTTTCCTACAGGTATGAAATGTAGGTGTTACAATTCAAGGTCCATTAGGCGGGACTTTGGAAATATAGAGGACAGAATTAAACAGTAGCATGACACATGTAAGTTTAGGCGACTAAGAATTTCTTGCAAGTATGATTGTAGAGACTCAGAAAGACTTTAAAAAATAAAGGCATTAGGGGGAGGTGGGGAGGATGACCTAAATATGAGATGGCCCAATATAACACCATCAAGTCTCTAAAAATATAATTCATGATGATGCATCTTTAGTGCATTGATGGCAATGGAAGGTCAGAACTTGTGTTAGGTTTCATTTGTCTTAACCCCCATGAAGTTGCTGTTAAATCAGAAAATCAGAAGAGTTTTAGCATGGAAGGAGAAAAAGGAAAGATGAGAGTAATCTGATTTATGGGGCCATCTGGTAGGTCATGTGTCCCAGGCACAGATGTAGCTCTACAGCATGAACTGACAGTAATTTCTAGTGACTCCCAAGCCTTCAAATCTCCAAACCTGCTTGTTGTATGAAGTGGTCTTTCTTTAAAAATCACTGCATAAAACAGATCTTACTGTTTCCATGGGGTGCTAGAGATGGGAGTTTGCTAAGAGGGGAAAGGCTGAGAATCAAAAGGCCTTTAATAGATTTTTGTTGATTTCAGAGAGAGGAAGGGAGAGGGAGAGAGAGAGAAACATCAATGATGAGAGTCATTGATTGTCTGCCTCCTGCACGCCCCCTGCTGGGGAATGAGCCTGCAACCCGGTCATGTGCCCTGACCTGGAATCGAAGGTCGATCTCCTGGACCATAGGTTGATGCTAAACCACTGAGCCATGCAGGCTGGGCTCAAAAGGCCTACGTTAGACCTCAGTGCTTAAATTGCCTTTATAGGACAAAGAAAAGACTGGTGAGTGACTCAGATTCAAATGCTGTGATTCAAAGAGCTTTTCTTTTTGAGTCATGCCCAAAGAGAGCCTTAATCTCATTCTAGGTTTGAAATTGCCTCTGGGTTCGTGCTTGGAATCACTAAGCAAAGGGGCAGACTCAAGGTGTTCCCTCTTTCCAAGAGCAACTAGGGACAGATCAGTATTGGTGTACTCCTGATGTAAAGTGACAGCATGGATTTCCCCTTGAGGTGAGCAATCAGGGATAAACTGAACCCTGCCAATGGCCCTTCTTCATACCTTATCCTGCCCTGCACCACAGCAGATTTCCAGAATGAAGCAGGGCTTCCCAAGACTTGGAATTAGGGATGAGTTAGAACACCTGTAAATGTTTCAGTTGTCATCAATGAAGGCAGATCGTTCTACATCTTCCCAAATCCCTCTGTTGCCCATCTCCAACCTTGACCTTGGCAACCAGAAACCCCAGAAGTAAAACTGTACCTACCCTTAATCTAGAGTTTTGTCTAGCACCAAGCAGACTTTAGGAGTTCAGACAGCTAAGCATTTGGACAACTAATTACAATCATCAAATATGATGTGACAAGGAAAGCTGTTTTGGGGAGGAGGAAATAATAAAACTACCCTGATTCATGCTAAGAAGTTACTATTGATAGAAACCTATTTTGAAACTATAACATGATTCATATGTGCTAAATAACTAGTGGAAGTTAGTGTCATTGACAGCATTGAATTAGAAACACTGAACACTCAAATCTCAAACTTCACTGTTAAAAATATTTTTCTCTTACTGCCACAAAGGGTCAGTAGTGAGACCCACTCTTTTCCCTAACTGTGCCTTAATGAATGTTAGGTCTATAAAAGAGAAAACAATGGAAAATTGGGCTGTGTAACACTACTAAAAAGATTCTGGATGAGTTAAAGGACTAATGTTTTGATCCCAAACTAATCCAGGAAGTGTGAAAGCCATGGAGGGCAAGAGGCTTGAGATCCATACCCAGAACCATCTCTGCCTAACTGTGAGAGCCAAACGCTCTGGGGGCTCCACTTTCTCCTCTCCAGAATTCTGGTGAGGGAGAGGGAGCATCAAGTGAATTCTAAGGTCTCTTTCTGTAGTAAAATTCTATTTTCTTCTACAAAGACTATTCCAGAGTGACTTTGCAAAAAATGACAAAACCAGTACTTGAAAAACAAAACAAAACAATGAAGCAAGACCTAACAAGAGATATCAGACTCTAATGATGCAGCCATTTTATTTAAATTGAAAATACCTTCTGCCCTGGCCAGTGTGCCAAATGATTAGGCATGGGCCTGTGGATTGAAGGGTCATGGGTTTGATTCTCTGTCAAGGCATGTACCTGGGTTGCAGGTTTGATCCCCTGCCCCTGGTTGGGGGACATGCGGGAAGCAACCAATCTCTCACATCGATCTCTCTCTCTCTCTCCCCTTCCACTCTCTCTAAAAATCAATGGAAAAAAATATCCTCAAGTGAGGATTAAGAAAGAAGAAAGAAGAAAAGAAAGAGAAGAAAGAAAGAAGAAAGAAAGAAAGAAAGAAAGAAAGAAAGAAAGAAAGAAAGAAAGAAAGAAAGAAAGAAAGAAAGGGAAGGAAGGAAG